ATTCTAGTAGGTAAATAAGATGATCTGCCAATTGAATGGGCATTTTTACTCTTAAAATAAGATAATTAGATAATATGCACTTAAAATATGACACTGCAACAATTTTGTCTTTGTTTCATTGGCAAAGAGTCTCACTTACCTCCTCAATTCAAGAGAAAATGCACTTGTGATTATTAAAATTACATAATATGATAGTACCATTCCAAGTTAACAGGTAAACCAAAGTCAGATTGCTTTGCTCATCAAGGACATTGTCAGAATAGTAAGATGGAGCCAAACTGAATGTACATAAGTTTTAGAAGATTTTATCTTTGAGTTCAGCCCGAGTTCCAAGCTGAAAACTGCCACCAGTGACAAAGGCTACGTTCACACCACAGCCTGAAATGACCCAAATCTGATTTTTTTGGTCCATATGCGACCTGGATCTGATCTCTTCGTGACTGTCATAACAACACAGATCCGATTTTTTCCAATGCAACCCAGGCCGCTTGGCTATGTGGTGCGACCTGTGTTTGAACAGCCAGGTCGCATTCATCCTCCCTGAACGTCATCAATACCCGACAAAGGTCACTCTTCTGCTTCTTGCTACGCAGAAGTGCAAGAAAAATAATAACAATAGTAGACGATGATGCAGAGAGCAGGATTTATGGAAAGATTGTGTTTTTAAGGTTGGAAAAGATCGCTAGATGTTCTCCAGCACTAACATCCATGTTTACTTCTGTGAAAACAGAGCATGCTTGCTTGAAACGTCATTGGCTCTGTTCGAAAACCTAGGACGGGTCCTCCAAGGACGCGGTCTACCTAGACTGGATCCTTCGAAGTCCTTGAAAATAAGGAGACCGGAAGAGTTTAGGCTGTGAATTCGACCAGGTCTACCCTTCGGCGGGTTTTACCACCGTATGCTCTGTTGCTTAGCAGCCGTGAACGTTGACACACAAAGCAGGAAAAGAATGAATACAGAAGTTTTCAAAACTGTTTATTTATTTCTTTTTTATTGTAAAGTGAACAAAGACTGATGAGAATCCAGAGTGGAATAAATGTTCCAACCACCGGGAGCAGGAACAAATAAAATCAAATGTAATGATAGAAACCTTAGTCAGTTAAATAACCTGCTGCTGTCATTTTGCACATCTCTGATGTTGCTGCTATTTTCGAATATCCGTTACTGTAAAAATGTCCATAGCTGCATATTGGTTATTTATTCCCCAGTTTTATATTGTTAAAACACTTAACAGTATTGTATTTTTTATATTTTAACTCTTCCCTATTATGTTATTCTTATACATTTTTCTAAGGTCCACATTTGTGTGACCATTTTAAATAATCTTTCTGCTGCTGTAAATTTGCCCATTGTGAGACAATAAAGGGATTTTCTATTCTATTCTATAAAAGGGCTAGAAAGATATAAGTAAATCTAAACAATGTATTTATAAAAAAATATATCTGCAAAATCTCTAATATTCAACAACAAAAAATACGTAGTTAAGCATATTGTGCAAGACAGCAATAAAAACATAAAAATCCTATCAGATTTATAGTCCCCACCCTGCAGATATATTAGAATCTGTCCTTAAATTATAGCCAAACCCATTTACACAGTAACAGATTAAAACCTTTAGATAAACCAAACATTACCGCCACATATCTGACTCAATAACCATTAACACAACTATTTTCATTCATTTCAGACGGAACTATTAAATGACTTGTATTACATTAAACTGAACTTCCAATTTTCACCACTGTTCGGTGCCAAGTAACCTTTACTCTGATCACGGCTTGCTTGGTCTCGCAATGAATCCTGGGATATCCAAGAATACCGAGGATACATCAGACCCGTCCTTCAAATCTGGCAAAAAGAAGGACGCATTTTAAGGCCGCATAACGAGGACTCTTGGAATCCGACCAGACCTCGGCGCCACGCTATGACGTAATCGGCCTTCGAATCCGGTCTTCTAAGGATGCGTCCTAGGTTTTCGAACAGAGCAATTGTGTCATCTTCTGCGCACGCGGAACACTTAGGTTGTATGAAAGTAGTTCACACAGGAGATCACATACAAGTCGCATATATTTGGAAATGTAAATGGCAAAGCAAAAAAAAAATTCAGATTTAAAAAATTTTATTGGATTTAAGCATCAAGGCCTGCAGTGTGAACGTAGCCAAAGCTTGCATTTTCACTCAGTGAGAAAAGTATTATCAGCTGGACTTATTGGGGGGAACAGAAGGGGTTGGGGTTTCTTCTCCCGCCTCTCCCACCTGCTGCTCGTTATGCAGTGTCAGTCCGATGGTGCAATGCTGGTGGGAGATCAGGGTTATGTTTATTTGACTGATCTCCATAATGACATAACTGACAGCAAGCAGCAGCAGGTAGCAAGCAGCAAATCACAGTCAGCTGTGTGCATTTGATTGACATGCACATGTTTACACACGAAAAGGCTTTGATGGATGAAAACTGTTTTAGATTTATGTAATTGTGCAGAAAAGTTATTATGAAGCAAAGTGATGTTAAAACATGCAGTTCTATAGGTAATAATAGAAATGTTTTAATTAAAAGCAACTATTCATCATTTCTGCTGGTATAAATAAAAAGGCAGAAAACTCCTCTGTTAATCTGCCTCCTCTTAACTATCTGTGACGCTTCCACCACTGTTTTGGTCGATATTGTTCACCATCTTAGCAGCTATTTATAAAGGGTGGCACAGAGCCCGGAGCTCTGAAGTGTCTTATAAATGTTGCCACAATACTTCTCTGACTTAAGCTGGCTGATTGCTAAGCTAACATTTTAATTTCCATACAGGGGATATTTTCCTGCACCTTAAATAGGATTCTACAGTAAGCACAAATTGGAAAGAAATGTCATGATAACGAGCAAGTGCAGTGATTTGGCTGAGAATGGGTTTACTATTCCTGGTTCTGTGCCGTTATGTTCAGAAAAGCAAAGGTTGGCTAATGCGCAATAGCTGCAGGCTAAAAAGATTCATGGAAGGATTTCACTTTCACTAGCACACAATGTACCAGCATGATCCACTGCCTGATTCAATGTTGATTATGCTGCTATTTCCTCGTATTTTAACACTCTCACTACATTATTTCAGGAATTAGTGTAAAATTCAAGCCTGTTTTTGTACTTTGGTTAAATAACATCACTTATGCATGTGTAAATCTTTTTATGTTGCATTAAACAGCAGAAATGTCTGACCAGCTGAACAATTTATGGATCTTTAAGTCTGAAGCAATATTAGATTATTTTTTTTTTAAGTGTCAAAATGAAAAAAGATTTTTCCACCACTTTGAGAAGTATTTGTCATTTCGCCTTGGGAAGTTTCTCTGACTCAACACTGACACATGGTGGAGAAACTGTGTCATTGCAACTATTGATCTGTTAAAGAAAAACTAAGTTAAATGCAATAAATAAATGCAATGATGAGACATTTGACACAGATATAAATGGGCAACCTTCAACAACAATAACTGAAAGAAAAACAACCTTATTTCTTCTTCACCGCTATTATAAAATAAATTGGAACATAATGTTCATGACCTACGGGCTAATCCCCTTTATGGACATTTCTCACTCAGGATGAAGCTGGGAAGACAGAATGTGCAGCTGTGGTTTATGTTGCTTCAAAACAGCTCAATGCCCTGAGGGTTTGTTATAGCAGGAAATATGGATGCCTTATTTCGGTCTTATTTTCTATAATAAATCAAAAACAACATAGCAGCCTCAATTGCAATTGTGGCACAGATGTAAACAAATCTTCATAATATAATGAATGTATTTTTTTTTGTTGGCTCACTTGTGAAATGAGATTTATGAATTAATTTGTCCCTGGGGAAAATTAATCTCATGTTTAAAAATAAAATAAAAAAACAGACGCTTAGTTATTTCCAACTATAATCATTTATATAAATAAATGCAGGTGTAGCATTTTAATAATTGCTACTGTTTTAATTAAATATGTCATTAAAATTGCATTTTTCTCACTAATCCTTTATAATGGGAAAGAAAGGAGAACCTATAATACAAGTAAGGTGTATGTCTGTTGACTGTGACAACAAAATAACTATGGTTTATACGCATAGTCAGAGCAATAAATAGAGGCAATTTTTTTGTTTTTTCCTTGCTGTTTAAACTGTACGTTTATTGTATAAAAATACAGAAACTCCCCATTCTGCCAAAAGATAATGAATATTTAAAAAAGGACTATTGTCTATAGCTAGGTAGGGTTTAAAGACCATAGAGCTTCTTAGGGTTCTAACATCATGAACTTTGATGGACACTCTGATCTGAAGAGTTGATGAAAACATTGATCCCCAAAATATGGCAAAACCAACACAGAAAGGTTTAATTTGGGATGGATATCCGTCATCTTCCTCTGTAATCTCAGTCCCTTCCTTCCCTCCATCATCTTCATCCTGTTTGCCTGCAGCTCTGCTGCTGCTCTCTGACATGTGGAAGCAGAACGCCGGGAGCAGATGGACTGTAATCTGCAGTTTAAACTAAAACACGATGATAATAATGATGATAATGAGTGGACGACCAAACTGGTAATGAAGCTGCTGGATCTGTGTTTATTGCATCCTGATGGCGTGTAAAGCTGATTACACTTCAGTGGGAAAAAAAATTATTGTTCATTCAAGCTGAAAGTGTGAGCACTAAAACATTAAGGGCATAAAGGAAGATGAGGCACGATGAATTATATATTCATGTGTGATAATATGTTTGCATTGAATTTATATTTTATTGTTTTTTTTTCCAAACTGTAAAGTCATTTAACTAACTTAAAACATTTAGAGAAACAATCTGACGCAAGTCCTTCTCTAAATAAATCACTGTTAACCTAATTTTTTAAATACATGTTTGATATTGAAAAAAATGTTTGTTACTAAAGGAAAAAAAAATTATATACACTTAAACTGACATCTCTGTATCTAATAATACCTTAAAAAATACGAAAAAAAGGTTTAAAAAAAAATTAAACACATTTTTTTCTTGTAGGAGGGCAGTCAGTGCCCCAGGACCCCTCACCTACTTCAACCTGTCCTCCGGGACCACCTGGACCTCCGGCTGGTGCTAATGGCAACAGCGACATCATGGTGAACTTTGACCCCGATCCGGCAGACCTGGCGCTGTCCAGCGTCCCGGGCCAAGAGGCTTTTGACCCACGGCGGCATCGCTTCTCAGACGACGAGCTGAAGCCTCAGCCGATGATCAAAAAGGCTCGGAAAATGCTGGTCCCCGATGAACAGAAGGTACTACATCTCCCACAATCCATTTCTGTTCAGCATGGAGACATCTTTTCAGGGTTCTTCTCTTTAATAATCATTTTACTACGGATGGAATTAGAAAATGTTGTAAAATCATCAGCATATTATTCCAATAAATATAGATCAGAATCCAGAACAAAGACAGATTTACATATAGTATCTGTTACACCATGAAGGAGGATGTTGCACTATGACCCTGTACAGAAAGTAAATACAAAGAAAATGTTTCATAAACATTAAGGAGGTGCACATATGAGGAAAAAAAGCCCAAAAAAGCAGGAGGGAAGATTTTGTTAAGGAAAATAATCCCAAGTATAATTGAGTCAAAGAACAGCGTTCCTGTCTGATAGAGACAATAGGAAGAACCATCAGAAATGGAGTCTAAATCCCTTCAAATCTGATTCTGAGTAGAAAAACATAGATAGATTATATATTTACATACAATGTATTTTAATAAAATAACACTTCATTTTGTTTTAAAGATCAGTTACTGACCCTTGTTTAAAATCTACTGTATGATAAAACCCCCCAGACTCCTTCCCTGCAGCAGCAGCAATAATTCATTCAGTATCCACTTAAAATGAGGCTGCAGCGGCTCTGCTTCGTCCTAAATCCTAAACTTCATCATCACAAAGGCCACCGCTCTTTGACAGCCTCTGTGCCGAAGTGAGAAGAAATAAAAAACCTGAAGAACTGTGACGCCTAACTGGTGTTGATGCCTTCTGACAAGAGCTCTAAAATATTTTGTCCTCAGCTCGTTGCACAATAGGCAAAGCTGTGATCAATCGTTCATGCTTTCACAGTTCAGCGCAGAGCAGCTGGATCTCCTGAAACGTTTATTATTTATGGAGAGATGAAGGTACTCACCTCGCCATGTTTAGTCGCAGCTAGTTTCATCAATCATGTGTGTGCAGCTATAAAACAGAATATAAAAACAAGGTCTGTGGTCAAAGTTAAAGGTTAGATTCAGATCAGTGCAGGAGCTTCTCAGAACTTGAGCTTGAATGTGATCAGCACTAGCAAAAGAAAAAGGACGCAGAACCGGCAGGAAACCACGTCTTTATGCTAACAGATTTATTATTTTTTGCAAATATTAAAATATATATATATTTAAAGAAAATCTAAGGTCAAAGATTGCTGGGACCTTTTAAAAAGTTGCCAAAAGTGCAAGTTTTTCCTATTTTTTGTTTTTTTTTTACTGTATCTGTGTACTGATGATAACCATATGTAGATCTGTCTCTAAAAGAAACAGTAACTCATGCGGCCCCACACTGCTCGTCTCAATCGAATATCTTGTAGATAGAAATCTCCGGTTTTACTTTCTGTTTGACCTGCAGCTCTCCAATCCCTTAAATTATTGCTCAGCTTAATAATCTCCATCTTAGATCTTCAGTAGCGGTCACATGTTTTTTCATGTGACCTTCAAACTAAAGTTTTTCTGCAGAGCGTTTATTGGTTCAACAGAGCGGCTCAGCGGGTTTACTTTATTCAGCTGGGTTGGGAAATAGCTACAATCCATAATTCAAACCATGGATTCCCATTTTGATTTGCGTATCTCAGATGTCCGGCCTTCTCTGAGACTATCTTGAATTATTGTTGTTTATAGTGATGATGTTATTACCGTGGAAACATGATACAGATGGAGTCAGCTATATGGCCAATACATTAGAAAAGGCAAGATAAATAAACTCAAGTGATGAGTTTGGTAAGTATGAAGATATGTGTTGTGAGTAGAGCTGAAACAATTACGCTCCATCCAGAACTCCTCAAGTGGAATTGTTTTAGTTTCACCTGGTTTAATTTCTTTAGGGAACCTTTTGCTATCCAATTATTATTCAAAAGATTAATCGATTTGCAAAAGATATACTAAAATAATTATTAGTTGCTACCCTAGTTGTGATAACTTAATGTTTCCTTTTCTGTCTCTCTTATCTGTGTCTCTTCATTCTATGATCTTAAAGTGTAACTCACCCCAATGTAAAAACAGCTCTTATATGTCCCCAAAAGTGGTCAGTACCAAGAAACCCAACTAACTAGCCTAGCCTTTCTTAGTGCAGTTGAGTAAAGCTATCAATTAACCCCAGATCTTTAGATGTGGTGGAATTTTTTTAACCTGACCCTCATCACCAAAGTGTAAATGAGGCTGTGTGGAGTCCATTATCAGCCTTATCAGTCTGAGCAGCTAACTTAGCTATGCCTGAGTTTGGTGCGGTAACAGAGAACAGGATGACCTGCTACTCTACTGTTTGAGTGAGATGCGTTCATATCCAAATAGATGGCTATGCTGATGAAAGCATGTAGAGTTTGAACCAATAAGTAGCCACTGTCAACTCCAAAAGGGCATTGCTAAGATGGTTTTAATATTTCTATATCATGTTTTTTTAAGCCTGCTAAAGTCAACTTCCTTTGAAGAAAGAAGAGCATTATAAAGTAGTTAAACCTAAAACGGCAGATTTTGGATGATATAGGACCTACGTTATCTTGCAAACAAAGATGAATTGATGCAAGGTTTATGAATTTACAAACTCCAGAAAATACAGCTTATCAGAAGCCAAAAGATGCATTAGCCTCCAATACAGAAATGTTTCAAACCAATGAATTGCAATTATTATTCCAGTGTATGATGTTCACTGGAAAAGCCAGGTTAAAGCAAAACAAACGTGGCTGAGGCATTGGATGTACTTTTTAGCTGTTAGCTGACCATGTTGAGCATACGTAACAACTGCACCAACATGATGATTTACCCAATCAGCTTTAAGAATTGTTCTGAATGTCCCTCTCTTTTGTGAAAACTTTCCACAGGAGCCTTTCCTGATGGAAACTGAGTAGAATGCAAATTGGACAACATAGATCAGTTTGGCTTGTGCCAGGGTAGGCCCTTAGGACAAATGTTGCAGAACTAAACGTGGTCACAAATGCACAGTAACATTGGAATAGCACCCAATAGATTCAGTTTGTACAATTTATCGACAAAAAAAAGAATTGGTGTAAGTTATACTTGATGAGTTTTCTGCAAAGTGTTTTGTGTATAGTCAGAAAGCAAAATTCGAAACACCTGGTAACTAACTAGTCAACAATTACTGCACTCTTTGCCATATTGCACACTGATAATGTTATTTTTGCAATACACTGTGAAACCCTACAATAACTTGTTTTGATCTCGTAAATATTGAGCTGTTGCTGCCTTTTTTCCTTTCCTGTCACCTTTTTACTCATCACATAACTAACCCTTGTCATCCCGCTCTCTCCCCTTTTTCTTGTCTCTCCTCCCTTCACCTTTTCCCCTCCACACGCCCCAACATACCACACCGGCGCCGCCCACAGGACGAGAAGTACTGGAGCAGGCGTTTGAAAAACAACGAGGCGGCCAAACGCTCGAGGGATGCCCGACGGCTGAAGGAGAACCAGATCTCGGTGCGCGCCGCCTTCCTGGAGCGAGAGAACGCCGCCCTTCGTCAGGAGGTCGCCGACATGAGGAAGGAGCTAGGCCGCTGCAGGAACATCATCAACAAGTACGAGAGCAGGCATGGAGACTTGTGAGGCGAAGGAGGCGGGCGGAAGAGAGGATCGGGAATGGAAGAGGAGATGAGAGAAGGGTACTACCCGACAACAAGCGGCACTTTATTTGAAGTGGCGAGGGGGCAAAGCTGGAGTAGATTTGCAGGAAGCGCTGGGTGACGCCGAGCGCAAACACCACTAGTTTGGTCGAGTGTGTTTTAGTGCAGGATTCCATGACAGAAAGCACAGCGATGCCACACCCCCAAGCCTGACTCTTCGTATTTGCTGTTTCACTGAATCCTCACTCTGTACTGTAAGGTCACATTGCAGCACTTCAACAGCAGCCGTCCTACTTCATGCTGTGCTTGCGCCCGGTGTTGCTCTGCGTTTTTTTGCAGGTAGAGCTTTCTGACCTGTTGCTCTGGCCAGTTCAAACAGGGTGTTGAGTTCACAGTATGCCAGTGAAATTTCACTTTTTAAGCTCAAGGCATGGACAAAAGCCAGGAGAGAACAGATGAGTTATTGTTTAGGGTTTTTTTCTATAACTAGTACAAAAATCTTATATTTTTGAACTGGGCAGGAAGGCAAGACAAGTCCAGCAAAAACTTTTGAGAGGGAGGAAGGTAAACATGCAGGGTTATCGCCCAGAACGCAAAGAGATTTTGACAAATGATTACTGTATATTTTTCTATTAGCAGAGATATCACGGAGGGGGATTTTAGAGACAATCTTTTGTACATTTTATATATGGGGAAGGGGTGGGAATATCAGCTGGACAGTCACGGGGCCACATATAACTCTTTTCCTCTAAGCTGATTATTGCTAGAAAACAAAAGATCTATTTTCGATGTTACGGAGCTGGTCAGTCAGAGGCGGATGTGTAACAGAGAATGTATCAAGGTTGAATCAGGTATTTCACACAGACAAGGCGAGGTAACTCAGTGAGGATTGTTTAGTTTTTTTGTTTTTTTTTCCTGTGTGACGAAAGGAGATGGCGGCATGACCAGAGGAAGAGACAAAAACTGTATAGCTTAAGAATTTTTAGTGTTTGTTTTTCCTTGTGAGCTCGTTTTGAATTTTCTTCTTCTACTTGATTCCGTGTCTGACTTTTAATAATCTTTAATTTTCGAAGGTGAAGCAGAAAAAGAAAAGAAAACAAAAAAAAACAGGAAGCAATCAGCCATCCTAACAGCTGGATGTGAGCAGATGTTTGAGAGTAAAGAAAACAATGTTTCGCTGGCCGGTTAATTAGAAGAGGAACTGCTCACGTGTACTTTCTATTTACTCCTCAGTCTTGTCCAGGAAGTGGGCTAAATGGTTTAGGGTTGTGACTGATAATGTCAGCATGCAGACACACACACACACACAGACCTCTCCCTTATATGAATCTTTATCGTTGTTGAAGATGATGATGTTTTTATGGACTTCTATGGTGCTGACCTGATCCTCCACCTGATAAACACACAATAGTCATATTAACCTACAAACACACATCTCAGAAAAATTACTGCCTATACATTTTCTTTGTCTTTTATTCCTTTTTCAGTTCACTTTTTCTTTCTTTTGTTGTGTATTGTAACGATAAATCCTATATAGATTTACACACATACCTATACCTCTCCTTCAAACTTTACCCAATGAGAAAGAGAAATGCACCCTATTGCTACTGTACCATACAACTATACTATTAAATATTAAAGTATTCACTAGATATAAATATATATATATATATGTGTATACAATATATGCTTGAATTATGTGATTATAGTTGTAACATTCATAATTGAATATATTACAGATTTCTCTCAGGTGTTTCTTTTCTTTTTTGTCCGAGGTATTGATCTGTTTGTCCATACTAATAAAAACACAAAAACACAAACAAATCCTTGAAAGAAAACATTTTTTTCCTCTTATTTGAAAGAAAGAGGTTGTAGCTTAGTAGTCAGTTATTGCCCAGTTACCAACCAACTCACTTCAGCTGTTACGGCTAAAGTTAATCAACAGACCACCAGACTGTTCACTGCACCCCGTCCAACAGTACTGGTTCTATGCCTGTCAAGCTCTGGATTCAGGAAGTCAGTCTATAGACTTTTTTCCCTTTTTAAGACCACTTTCCCACACCCAAAAGTGAAGAATCACTTTTGCTGCATCTTTAAATTGGTATCCTCTAACGGATGACTCACTTCCAAATCACCATGTTTTGCTAATAAACTGCATACCTAGATGTCTTATAGTATTATATATATATATATATATATATATATATATATATATATATATATATATATATATATATATATATATTTATATATATATATATATATATATATATATATATATATATATATATATATATATATATATATATATATATATATATATATATATATTTAAATCTCAGGTTGTTTGACATTGGTGTGTAGAACCTTCTGTTTGTTCTGTTGGCACTAAAGTTATTAAGACATAAACCCGAAAAACTGACTTGAGCAGTTCCATTGGTGTGAGGTATAACAGTGCCTTTCTAGAAAGCTGGATTATGTCAACTGCCAAGAGTTGAAATGTCTAAAGGGAAATAATTTTAGGTTAAATGAAAAATAGAGTTGTTTTTCTCATGGAAGACTTTGTAACTGTGTTTATAATCTTGCTTAGCATTTCAACATCCTAAAGAAGTCATAACCTGTTACTTTACAGGTAAATTTCTTCTAAACGTGTCTTTAAATTCATTTTTAATCAATTTTCTTTGAGAGAAAAATTAAATAGAGCTCATTCTGACTTTTTTTCATACCCCTTTTCTTTTGCAAGGGTTACACTCGAGAGTTTAACTGATGTGTATGTGCGTTCATGGTGATGTAGCATTAGCAACATTAGCAGTTAGCCATGCCTCATTAACTATGGTTCTCTGGTCTCTTACATAATACGTAAAAAGTTTCAGAAGCAGCAACTCTTACTGCATGCCTTTTTTGAGTCCTTAATGTTAGAAACATGAAAGCAAGGCAGGCTAAGCACTCAGCTATGTTCGGACAAATGTTGAGCGTGGAAATGAGATTTCTCTAGGGCAGCCAGAATCATACTTCTAGACAAAATGAGAAAGTTGAAAACACAGATTTTTTAATCTTTTTCAAAGCTCATTTGGTTTTCAGGAGTATCAGTAATTTCCAATAGTTGTTACAGTCTGTTGGTCATTTAGTTATATTAATGGGCTAAATCATGAGATGTCTGCAGGTGTTTATGTCAGTGTTGCACCGATACTGCACTAAAATGGTGGTATCGGTATCAACGAGTACCAACAAATAGGGGACAGATAGCATTTTGAGAGCCAAAAGTTTATTCAACTATTGTCACCCATTCCAGGTAGGCAATAAAAAGTTCTACTGGATTCACTTTTTTTTTTTCCTTTTTCCAAACAGATGGTATCGGTATGGGCCGATACTGCACAGCCAGGTATCGGGTATCAGTATCGGGGCCAAAAAATGCCATTGGCGCAACACTAGTTTATATATAGAGCGTGGCTCTTAAAGTTAAGGTATTTGTTTGCAAAAAATAAGTTTAATGTTAGCACCCATCCACTAATTACATAAATCAAGAAGAAGAACCAAAATCAGACTTTAATGGATTTCCTGGTTTAATGAAAGAGCCCATGCAGACAAATCAAGTCAACCCTACATTTCTGGGTTTAACAGAGACCTTTTTATCACTTATAATTATGGAACAGCGATAGAGTCTTCAATAGAGTAGGGAAAGGGGTTCAATATTTTCATATATATTCAAAGTTAATAAAAAAATTATCTGTTTATAAAGCAATCAAGATCTTTAAGAATTTCCTGTTATTGATGCTGATGTTATTGCCACAATCAAAATGTTTACGGCAATTTTATCTGAGGCATTTTCTACTATTTTATGTAAATACTAAATAATTCTAAAATTATTTACTCAAATAAAAGCATAGTAAATGTGGTGGCATTTTACTGAAGCAGGAGTAGAAATACTGATAAAAAATCTAATAACATGAACAAAGAAAAACATTGACACTTTGTTTAGAGTCAACACTGATATATTTTTGGAATAAAAAGACTCCAGACTTTATTTAAATGCGCCGCTAATTCAAAGCTTGACAGGCATGTTGCTACAGTTAGTGGCTGTGTTTACAGTAACCGAGGAGGGGTGTTTTCAATCATTCTAGAACTGTCAGGGTTTTATTAAAGGATACCAAAAGTACCTTTTTTACCTGCTATATAGTCACAGATGAATTGCTATTGTATTATTTTTAAATAGTTTCATGCAGCCTGTTTTCTGTAGATGTTGTGTTTCGATTTTGGCACATCCCCCTTTTGATTCCCAGCAGCAGCTTTCTTTTGATCCGCAGTGATTTTGCGTAAGCATTTATTTTGTCCTCTTTTGAAGGTAACACTTCTAGTCTGACACAAACTTTTGACTATAAATCGCTGTAAATGAAATCTCGGAGCTCCTTCCAAGTGCATACGGAGGTTTGTGTTCTTTTTTGAGATATCTGGGATTTATGATTTTCCTCATACACCTTTCAAATACCTTTTGACAGTGCTATTTTTCTATGTAATTGTGTTGTTGAGCGTGTTGCAATTTTCTCTGGCGGGTGTTTGAGGCCCATTCTTCACATGGAGGCAGCAACGATTTGCTGCTGTCGACAATGCGGGTCATAATGACAACAATGATAACAATAATGGACACAGCCTTGACATTTCTTGTTTCAACTTTGTGGATTCTCAGCCAACTTCTCCCTGTCGTGATTGACTGTTATGAACTACAAGCGCAACTCCAGCCGGACTCCTCACCTGTTTTGTGCGCAGTCCACAGCGTTGATGGCATATGTTGGTATTTTTTTCCTCCCTCCAGACACAAATAAAGGCTAATCCTTATACACTGACAACGCTCTCAAGTGTCTTACTGCTCCAAGAGTATGTTTAAGGTTTGCAACAAAAACGCTTGGATTACTGTAGACCAAGATCTGTAAAGTATGGGAATCAGGAAGTTCTTTATTGGCCCAAAAAAGTTTGTGAATAAAAGTTTAAATGTACAGCAGCAAATCTAGTATTTTGATGATGCTCAAGAGGGCAAACTGGCCTTAGGGACTTCTATCTAGGGGGTGTTATGAACCAAAGTTTTTTGTTGTTAAAAAAGTGGGTTTTATGGCTTTGCTAAGTCATTCTTTTTACTAGTACAAAAGTTACTTTAGAACAATAAAGCTAGAATAAATCTTTATCAATATGGGAGTAAAGCCTTATTTTAAGAAAAAATGCGTTATAAAGAGAAGAAATTTGCAACAGAGTTATTTTAAAGTCAGTTCTGTAATCTCACAATATTACATCTGTAATTTGGTAAATTTACATCCTTTTCTTTTGTTCACATTCCGTGTCACACCACTAAAGCTTCATCTTCCACTTCTGCTATGGAGCCTTTCCTGTTTTATTTGTTCTCAGCCAAATCAGAAGCTGGTGCTTCTCCTTTTGGCTCCCCGCTGTCAATTAAAGATGCAACTGAAGAGACTAATTCAAACAAAGTTCTCAGTGATTAAAGACCTTTTACCCTGAAATCCCACATCATTAAGCTAAGAGAGACTTCTCTTGGTTCACCTCAGCAAGTAAACAAGCAGAGTTGGAGTCTAAGATGCTATAATACACCTGTTTCAACAAATCAATGTCATTTAGACTAGGCAGACTTCACAGTGAGGATTTCTCCAGTGCATTTAACACAATTCAGCTTGATTCACTTTGTGAGAAACTCTAGCAGACTCAGGTGGAGGCATCATCAATCGCCTGGATCAAAGACTACTGAAAAACAGACCACAGTTTGTTAGACTGAAGGTTCAGCAGTCTAATCAAGTAGTCAGCAGCACAGGAGCACCACAGGGGACGATACTGTCTCCATTCCTTTTTACTCTGCAAACGTCTGACTTCCAGAATCAGACAGAGTCCTGTTATCTGCAAAAATACTCAGATGACTCAGCAGTCATTGGGTGCATGTGGTGATCCGCTTTGTGGCATAGTGTGGAAACAATTATCTGAGCCTTATTGTCAACTAAACATGGGGAATGATTGTAGATTTTAGAAGAAACAGGAATAAGTTGAATCCTAGTAACACGATGAGAGAAGAAGTGGAGGCTGTTGAGGAGTATAAATACCTTAGTGTTTACCTGGAAAGCAGATAACTGGAGACACAACTTTGAAGC